GGTTAGGTTTTATTTAAAAAATTGACATTAAATACTCTTTTGAATTCTTCTATAAACATTTTTTATTTCAGTTCAATTTTTGAAATTCGAAATGTAATGAACATTTATGCTTTAAATTGTATCGCGCTTCTAGTCTTTTGGCGTTTCAAAATGTATATTTAAATATAACGCAATGTTTATTTATAAAACGAATTCCATACACTGAATATAATTGATTCCTGCTGGAAATAATAATTGTTATCTTCAAGAGGCGTAGTTATCGCTCATTCATATTCATAAGACGAATGCCGCGAGCGTTTCTGATCGAACAAGGGTTACCAGATTTTAAATTTAGTTATTCTACCAATAAGTTTCATTATTCACTCTTGAAATGTTGAAAACTTTGCTTTCATTTAATATCCGGCATACTTTCGAACTTAAACTACCGAGCCTTAGTATCTTCATTTTCAATTAACATTTAATAAATCAAAATACGTAAATGAACTATGTTATTAATAAGTTTTTTTTTTGAAGTTTAAATTATGGAACGAATTTATTATCTGTAACGTTCTACCAACTATCCGGTATGTTAAAACTAATGTCAAGTTATTCAGTTGGTACCCCTGATTGCGAGCTTGTGAGACCGTGTAACTGTTTTGTGGGTTGAATAACCACTTATATTCAACGTTAGATAGCCCTAAATTTATTGTTGGAGTGAACATGAGACCTTAATTAATGGGGATTCTAAATCAAAGGGGTAAATATCTTCCATCTATTATACGATGGTATCTGGCTCCTACCCAAATTCTTAGTCTTGTTCAGACATGTTGGTATTTAGGTATGTGACGCGTGTTTACGAATATTAATGGCTCAGACCCTTAATAGGAAATCCTCTTTAACAAAACTAGATTAGTTTGACAAGGAACAAAAGATACGTCATTTTTTCTTTATTAAAAGATTGGATTGAAAACCAAACAATAGCATATCTGAATGAATGCAGAACAATGCCTTTCACAAACACTTCCACTCAAAACTGCACCGATATTCCGTTCCCCGCTTAAACCGGTGCAAACCGTCGCGTCAAACCTTGCCATATCGTCGAACCCGTGACGTAGATATATTAGCATTTAGATTATGTCCTCTGGCACTAGAAGACACGTGGTGTCGTCGTTCGTGCCTACCTCTGATTTGTCCTTACCAAATGGATGAACCTTGCGTTTAATGAAAATAGAAATTCCGGTGCAAAGCTCCTATAGACGTTCGAGTTGGCGGTAATTGACGGGGCTTCGTGAGCAATTTCGGTTTAATATTTCCACAGACTATATTGAAAACAAACGATTCTATTGTTATATTTTCGAATGAAGACAAGAACTTTGATCTCTCACGGGTGAAGGGTACCAAATTCCGCGAATCAGATGTGAAACTAAAAGACTTCCTTATTTACAAACTATCTTCAGAATTCACTTAAGAAAATTTCCTTACATACACTGTCGCTACATAACTTAGATAAAGAATTCGCATCCAAAATGAATTTCCGAAGAAATTCCATATCGCTCTTTGTATTGTAGAATGTTATCTTGTCTTCCCTTAGGTTGACATAAAAACTCGAATAAAGGTAGTCGAGAGGTTTCATACTATCTTCAGCGATGACATGACCTCGATACGTCTTATAGGTATCGATTGTTTCCCAATCGATCCCGAACACATCCATTTTACATGATCACTTTTGCACAATATGACAGCTCAGTTCCCCGTTCCCTTGTGCATATTAAAATGCAAATCAAAGCCGGTAGCGGGCGTCGTCGCATATTCTCGATTTTTTTCCTCCACAAATCGATTCGACATTCGTAATCGAGATAGACGCGAGTAGTCACGTCTGTAATATATTTTTGGGGGTGTCGTAAAGACATCTAATACGAAATCTTTTTACTTATTCCAATATGTGAAAAAGTAAAGCATTTTCCCTTTACGGTTGTAATAAAAATCTTAATCGAGAATTAATGTTGGTTGAAGGTGCGGCGAAGGAAGTGTTGTTTTCTTTTTGTTTAACGCCATCCTAGTTTAAGTAGGGTAGAGGCGTGGCGTCGGGTTATAACGACAGGGCGCCATCTGACGTCATAACAAAGCCCTCACCTTTTGTCAATTTTAGAGCACCTTAAAGATCTGTAGCGCGCGGTAACGACCGACGCTATTTGATGACGTCATTTAGAACTCTTTGTTAGACGTGTCTTGAAAATAATGCACTAGAAATAATGTAAAAAATCTTAAAGTAATGCCTTTGTAACAGTTATAAAATAATTTAGAACTATTAAATATAATACTGAAAGTGAAACTAAATCAGAAAATGGACGAAGTTCTCTAACGCATTTGGCACACTAAGTTGCATGTACTAAATAAGAATTCATCTTTAAAACACGACGCCATTTTGGAAACACTTAAAAATCTTTCACCGCTGACCTTTTTACCAAATCATAGAAAATACGATGCTATTTAGTCCACTACATGCCTACTCCAAACCGATGATATCAAGCACTAATAAAATTCCTGACCCGAATTTATAACCCAGTAATATTGACTACATGCCAACAATTACGGTACTCGAAAGAAGTAGGGTTGGGAAAAAGTATAATTTGCCGAGAATACCGAGCCATCCGAGTTGTATCATTTAGGTTCATTAATTACGTCATAAGTTCGACGGTACCCATTTTATCGCAGCCCCAGCCGACGCGGGTTATGCAAATGATGCCCAGCGAGTGGCCATAATGTTGGCATTATAACAATTTAAGACGTAAAACAACAATAAGTGTGTCTAATATCTTTATATTTTCGGTGGTCTGTGAAATTAGGTCCGTTCCGCCCAGATTGCGGGTGCTTTCTAAATAAGTACCACGGTTCGGATTTTATTTTTGTGATTGCCGAGTTGACGGTGGTTGTGGGAAGGGTGAGAGTACAACAATATGGTGGTGGTAGATGTCAGTTTGTTACGGTGTTGTTTTAATCGCCAGAAGATCACCAGAAGAACAAATGATAGTCTAAATGGGTAGTATTCATTATTATCAATACATAGTATAAAACAAAGTCGCTTTCGCTGTATGTCCGTATGTATGCTTAGATCTTTAAAACTACGCAACGGATTTTCATGCGGTTTTTTTTAATAGATAGAGTGATTCTTAAGGAAGGTTTGTATGTATAATACATGCATATTGCACCCGTGCGAAGCCGGGGCGGGTCGCTAGTTATTTATAAAAAAGACTGTGTTGGCTGTTCATTTCTTACCCATGGTAATCAGGTAAAAAGTTTCTATAATATTTAAAATACAAGCTGATACTAGAACACGTACCATGCTCAATCTACCAAGATATAAGACGTAGCCAATCCAAGAACACAAATCAACAAAAACGGATTTAATAAAAAAACATGCGTATTTTTTGTCCCGTCCCACGCATCTATTCCTATAAAATCAAATAGCCTTACATATTTTATACACACGGAGACTTTTTCACTAGTTATTGTATGCGCACACTGGCCATATTTCCCCGACTTTGCGACGCGTCACGGGTCCGAACACAACGCGCATACTAAGTACCTACGAAACCCGACGAAACGTGTGGCGAACAACAGTTTACTACGCCCGTTTTATTTTCACCATAAAAACGTTTTATGTCTCATTTTCATGAAGCAATGCGACATAATTATGCGGGACGGAGAGACCCGAGATGCGATTTTTAGTCCGAAATTTAACGTTAATATGAATTCGTCCTGAGAATATGAGACGTATTCGTGTCTATTTAACCCTCAGCCGGGTGCCTTCGTGATCCCGTATTCGGTACAATTTTACCCTTTTCTGAATTCAAACAAAATCGTGATTGAGTTAATGCTGTTTTAATAAGCCCACTTCGGTGTACCGCTGTTCCGCTGTGAAGGAGTTGATTAAAATTTTCGTCGTACTTACTTCTAGTGGTTGATGTTTAATTTTCATTATATCTTAGGGACGTTGATAAGAAATATTTCGCTTTAAGTTTATTGTACAATTAACATATTTAGATACGACGGCATATTTTTCCATCCTTTCACTTATAGTGATGGGAACACGCGAGTGTGTGTTCATATCGATTATTGTACTAATTGAATTACTGATCATACGTCAAATTATCAGTGACCAAGCCCAATAATTAAACGTTTCTATAAGAATCATATCGCTAACTTAATTTTCTTTCGTCATTTTTAATTATACTAGGCAGTTCTCGAAAAAGGACTGAAATACATATAAAAAGGCACGCGACAAACGTCGTTATTTCCACGAAATATTCAGTTGAACTGTAATTACTGTATTACGACCTTTATAAATGTTATAATAGATTTTTATGCCGTTATTTCGTCAGTTCATTTTTACAATTTCATACTAAACTACCTTAAATAACATGCATTTAAGTCTAGACCCTCATTTGTGATCAAGATGTTAAGTAGGATATTAAAGTTAGCGAACTCATTTAAGGCAAGAAGTGTCGATAAAAGTTGATAGTTTATCGATATTCAAGACAAGAATCGATTACGTAAGTAAAATGATAATTTTAAATGACGTTCGATGATGACGTCATTAAACTTTGACAGTTATATGTAGTTGATTACTTCAGCATCCGATACGATAAATATGATTTAATTTTCGCTCGTTGGTGATGCTGTGATAATTATAGAGATACGAAACTCCGTCAATTAAGGGAGCACTAATGACAGGCGAAGTTTTAGAACGGAAATGATCTGTTACCAAATTATAGGTTATATTTACTCACAAGATATGCAATCAAATATGAACATAGATATAGGACAGTATGAACAGTCCTTCATTTCAGACCTTTAAGATTCAATTAGTGGATAGTAGCTGTATGTAAAGTGTATGAAATCATCTGTATTTTGCACTTCTTAAGAGATGAATTATTATGGTCGCTTTCTTATACTTTCAAATCAACTTTATTCATGCACAAATGAGAGTCTAGATATGTAAAAAAAGGAATGTAACTCACCATTAGCATCAACTTGACAGTTCAGGAAGAGGAGGTAGGCGAACAGTAGAGCGACGGTGCGGTGGAGCGCACAACGCCGCTCTCGCATCTTACCGGCGCCGGGCCGCGCCTGCGCCAAGACACACGTCACTACGTCGCCCCGACCCCAACATACCCGCGCGGCGCCCGCGCAACACCCCAAAAACCTTACTTACTCCTTACATATACACATCACAACCAGTTTTGCCACTTAACATTATAATAAACCTAAAATAATTGATATCATTTAATTTTATCACAAAAATACGACAACCGCTTCGATGATTGAAAAATTTTCAAAATTTCTTATTTCACTAGAGAGTTATTTAAAACACGTAGACGTAGACGTAGATAACGACGAGGATTTTCTTTTTAATTAACTATATTTACAATGGTGATTTATTTTTGCTATAATGTCAGGGATAGATGTCCGTTAGTTTAGTTGGATTCACTGCGCGAGAACATTATAGGAAGCACAGTTTGGTTGCACAGTATTGTTCAACCATATTCCATTGTTATACACTGTTTCGGTCTTCTCAACTGGATGTGGAGAGTGCACTACACTGGCGCGTCCGCCGTTCACAATTGACACTAAAACTTTTCTCAATCAAACACATTTTTTATTGTTTAGTTCTGAAGTCATGAGCTGCGCCCGCTTAACATTCCACCTGGAAACAGACGACGTAATGTCAAGAGTCAGCATGACTTCGCAAACTCATGCTGACAAACAACATTGTAGTCGAGTTGGAATGCGCACGTTCCAATATCAAACGAGCGAAACATACAAAGTTCACTCCCCCGAAATCTAGCCCTTTTCACATCTGGCTCAGTTTGTAGCAATAGACAGGGAATCAAATTCTAATACCAATAAAAATAAACGAAGCATACAGCGTAAAGTCGAAGACTTTGAACCGATCTTACTGTTCTATAGAAATAAAAGAATCTTTCCATTCAAATAGTGTTTACAAAGTAACAATTGGATCAATTCTAAAAACGACACAATGAGCGAACAGGGCCCATTTTTCCTAAACATAATTTCACGATGGATTATGGAATTACGTTAATAAAAACAATATGAAACAAAGCACTACTTCAAAAACCGAATCACAAAAGGTAAGAATAACAGAACGCGGAAAAAGTCCTTAAATCCAATGCCACATTATATTATTTTTGTCCTGAAACAAAACGCGGCTAAAGCCAACAAAAGCAGAGTACACACGGACGGTATATCCGCAAATAAATGTCAAATCCTAATTCATTCGCGGTCACGTGTATTAAATCTAGCTGTTTGGATATTTGGACAAAATATGACAGGCGACTAGAATGGCCTGGCTAAGGATTTGTAGACACAATTAAAAGTTTCCCAAAAGGCTGAATACTAATTACATTACTTGTATCTAGGTCATAAAAAGTAACCAAAATATAAAACCTCCTTTTTGTAAGTCGTGTTAATAAATATCTATCGTAGTTTGACAATTCTAAGTCATATTTATGTAAGTGCAAACAAAGAGAAGCTAATGAAACTTCGAAGTAATGAAGACCGGAGGCTAATGTAGACGTGGGTGGTTAATAAACGTTCCTAAGAAAGCTTTGACGATATAGATTTCATTATAGTACTTAATAATTTGGAATGTTATGATTCTTATACTCATATGAGCAATGATATACTTTGACAATTTTGTTGAAAAACGAACTTTAAAGATATATGAAAGCCTCCATGCTTTGCATTGTCTTTGGATAAGGTGACATACGTGTCATAAGACAAACGTCTAATAAAATGTTGTAGCTACAAATGGAAATATTTTATAGAATTAATTTTATTTCGATAATATAGGATTGTTATTTTAGTTATTTAATTTAAAGAATTTAAGTGAGGATCGACGGGCTAAAGCAGTGACAATTAATTGTCGATTCTCTATTGTTATAGGTTTGTATTCCGAGGTTGCTTAGTTTATTATTTTTTATTAAAATATTGTTATTTTATTTAAATAAAACTCTATTGTTATAGATGAATCAAATTATTTCATTGCTGTCTCGAATCCTCATCTTATAAATCGACAATTTTGGTCACGTTTGAAGATAAATACAAGTATTATAAACATACGTAATGGAGAAATTACAATTTGAATTCATCGTGAAAGCGAAGCCGGATGATAATAAAACCAATATTTATGCCATAACTACTATCACGGATACACAAGGCCAAACTTATATTATGCCTCGAGAATATCAATCGGTGCAGTTACACAAAGAAATAATGAAACATGAAATATTTGACAAAATAAAGAAATCTCTCCAAAAAAGGCATGATAAGAGACAGGTTTGGATTACATTAACTAAGGATATGAAAAGTACATACTTGGATGATGGCAACATACAATTTGATGGGTATTTGCTTGAAAAATTAGAACCAAGTCAAGAGTCGTCATCGACAGAGTCATTGTCGAAGAAAATAGGAAATAAAACAAAACTATTAGCAGAATTTTCAATACAGAAGTTTTCAAGAAATACAACAAATGTTCAACAATGGTTAGATACTTATGAAAGTGAATGTGCGCGCTTACAAATAGATACAGATTTACGAAAGATAGAAATGCTAAGATTACTATTAGAAGATACATTTTTAATTAACTATATTTACAATGGTGATTTATTTTTGCTATAATGTCAGGGATAGATGTCCGTTAGTTTAGTTGGATTCACTGCGCGAGAACATTATAGGAAGCACAGTTTGGTTGCACAGTATTGTTCAACCATATTCCATTGTTATACACTGTTTCGGTCTTCTCAACTGGATGTGGAGAGTGCACTACACTGGCGCGTCCGCCGTTCACAATTGACACTAAAACTTTTCTCAATCAAACACATTTTTTATTGTTTAGTTCTGAAGTCATGAGCTGCGCCCGCTTAACATTCCACCTGGAAACAGACGACGTAATGTCAAGAGTCAGCATGACTTCGCAAACTCATGCTGACAAACAACATTGTAGTCGAGTTGGAATGCGCACGTTCCAATATCAAACGAGCGAAACATACAAAGTTCACTCCCCCGAAATCTAGCCCTTTTCACATCTGGCTCAGTTTGTAGCAATAGACAGGGAATCAAATTCTAATACCAATAAAAATAAACGAAGCATACAGCGTAAAGTCGAAGACTTTGAACCGATCTTACTGTTCTATAGAAATAAAAGAATCTTTCCATTCAAATAGTGTTTACAAAGTAACAATTGGATCAATTCTAAAAACGACACAATGAGCGAACAGGGCCCATTTTTCCTAAACATAATTTCACGATGGATTATGGAATTACGTTAATAAAAACAATATGAAACAAAGCACTACTTCAAAAACCGAATCACAAAAGGTAAGAATAACAGAACGCGGAAAAAGTCCTTAAATCCAATGCCACATTATATTATTTTTGTCCTGAAACAAAACGCGGCTAAAGCCAACAAAAGCAGAGTACACACGGACGGTATATCCGCAAATAAATGTCAAATCCTAATTCATTCGCGGTCACGTGTATTAAATCTAGCTGTTTGGATATTTGGACAAAATATGACAGGCGACTAGAATGGCCTGGCTAAGGATTTGTAGACACAATTAAAAGTTTCCCAAAAGGCTGAATACTAATTACATTACTTGTATCTAGGTCATAAAAAGTAACCAAAATATAAAACCTCCTTTTTGTAAGTCGTGTTAATAAATATCTATCGTAGTTTGACAATTCTAAGTCATATTTATGTAAGTGCAAACAAAGAGAAGCTAATGAAACTTCGAAGTAATGAAGACCGGAGGCTAATGTAGACGTGGGTGGTTAATAAACGTTCCTAAGAAAGCTTTGACGATATAGATTTCATTATAGTACTTAATAATTTGGAATGTTATGATTCTTATACTCATATGAGCAATGATATACTTTGACAATTTTGTTGAAAAACGAACTTTAAAGATATATGAAAGCCTCCATGCTTTGCATTGTCTTTGGATAAGGTGACATACGTGTCATAAGACAAACGTCTAATAAAATGTTGTAGCTACAAATGGAAATATTTTATAGAATTAATTTTATTTCGATAATATAGGATTGTTATTTTAGTTATTTAATTTAAAGAATTTAAGTGAGGATCGACGGGCTAAAGCAGTGACAATTAATTGTCGATTCTCTATTGTTATAGGTTTGTATTCCGAGGTTGCTTAGTTTATTATTTTTTATTAAAATATTGTTATTTTATTTAAATAAAACTCTATTGTTATAGATGAATCAAATTATTTCATTGCTGTCTCGAATCCTCATCTTATATATATTTCAATAAAACTAAAATTTCAACAGTCAAAAGATTGACTCCGTACATATTTCATCATAAGATGGACATAACTCACGATTTTCAATAACCGAGACAAATTCTCAGTTCATGTGAGACGGAGAGATGCGATTCTATATATGTTGGAGTGAGATAGATGCAATAGAACTAAATATTCTATGATATAGAGTGGGACGCACCGTGGAACAGTTTGCACAAGTTTATAAGTTCCAATAAGACTGGACCAGGTGCGACGGCTGATGCTTCAAATAGAGCAATTTGCATAGTCTGCTGAAATTGGTTCGGTGATGTAACTTGTGATTATAATAAGTTCTACGTCTAACACGTGGTGGAATATCAATCTTAACTAGGTACTTATACAGCTTCGGACTATGGAAATCTTAACTAGACAACGCTGTGCAACTTCGGATTGGATAACTATTATTTCTTTTTTAAACCGTTGTGTTGTGTTTAAGTTACAATAAAATTTTTTGTAACTTCATGCTAGACTAACACAGGTCACACTTATTAGGGATGACTTAATGGACAATAGGCTAGTTTTTGTTTCCTAAGAAGTTTAATGCATTCGTTATTTATTTATCATTATCATCATTATCAGATTTTTTTAGGGAATTTGCTGGTTGTATCTCGGTGTATGTATATATCAATTATATGTCTTAAAACTGTAATTTTAAGACATATAATTTTCAAACAATTCAGCACTACTAGAAACTAGCTGTTGCCCGCGACTTCGTTCACGTGGAATAGTGATTCACGGCTCCTCCCC